CATGGATGGAGAACCAGAGAGGTCTAGAGGTGGGAGGAGAGGTGACAGAGGATGGCTGGGCTGGTGACATCCTTAGCTCTTGGGAGCATTGATGAGGCCCCAGGATCCTTCACGCTGGCCTTGAGTCATGGGAGTGGGTATAGTGATGGGAAGGGAAGGCCCTGGTTATCTGTCCCTCGATGTATGGTGGCTCCTGTTGGCACTGAACTCCCCATCATTACCTCACTCCCTCCCCCCACCTCCCCAGGCCTGATATTTAAGAGCTGGATTAATTGAAGCTGAAGAACATACTCAGGATAGAGGCAGGACCAAGGATCAGAGGTGAAGGACAGGAGCAGACGCCTTTCCAAAAATGTCTGTCCTTTGTCTTGCACTCCTGCCTGGCTCCTCAGCCCAGCCCCACAGAGTCAGGGAGGAGGAGAGGGAAGGGGGAGCCCAAGCACGTGAGGCTGCCATCCACAATCCACAAGAAAGCACAGGAAATGCTCCTGATGTAAGGGAGCCCTCTTGGCAGGGACGTGGCACCCCTGGAAGCTCAGCCTTGAGCTGAGCCACTAATCCTGTGGACAGCTAGAAGTCCCAACCCAGAGAGCAGCTGGAGAACAGGCCCCCCCAGCATGCTGCCCACTCAAGATGGAGCCCACACACTTCCTAGAACTCAGTGCTCTGGGCTTGCAACCGAAAGCTCCAGCTCATCAGCACTGTGGAACTTGCAAGAAATCACTTACCGTCTCAGAGCTTCGTTCTTTGTGTTAAGTGGGGATCATGCTACCCATTTGTGCCATAGGAGTGCATGAGCAGCTGTGCTTCATGCTCTTGGGCCACCTCTATGTATCTGGATCTGCCTAGCAATCTTGCACCTGCCTGCCTACCCATCTCTGCAAGACAGTAGTAAAAACTGCCAGCTCACAGGGTCGTGAGAATTCAATGCAAAAGTGAACGCTCAAAGGCTTTTGCAAGGCTCTGCACATCATCAGACAGTCTGTCTGTATGGAAGGTAATGCTGCCCAGTGGTTATCTGCTGAGTGCTGCTCAACAGAAAGACAGGGTGGGCCACATGGGTGCTTTTTCTAGCAGTCACAATAAAGCAAAGCAGAAGGAAATGTGTGGTGATTTTAAGCTTACATTTCCACTGCAGTATGTGTGTCTGCGTGTGGGGGGCTGTGCAACACAGGGACTCTGGTTCCCTGTTGGGGCCACTGAATCCTCAGACTGCCTAAAGGCTACCAGGGCCCAGAACTATAAGAAGAAGAGTTTTGGAAGCACTGGGTTGGAACCTGATGGCCATTGTGTGGGACAGGAGAATGTAGAAGTGACAGCTGCTTTGAGGAAAGAGCAAATTGGAAGGGCACAAACCCCCTGCCTCTTCTTGGAAGCCTCATACCTCCGGGAGGCTCCGAGTAAGCGGGAGCCGTCCGAACCTTTCGTGACCGCCAGTCTCTGCTTGGCGACCTCGGAGGGTGAGAACCTGAGTTTCCGGCTCCCGCGTCCCGCGTGCTGCGGCTCCCCACCCAACACAAGCGCGCGCGCGGACACCCACATACACACACACCACTCCCGCATGCCTCCAGCCGCATCCACCGGCGCACAGAAGCGCCTTCGCTCTCGCCAAACACCTGCAACCCTCCGGAAAACCACGGGCGAACCCCGCGCACCTTCGGGCTGAACGCCGAGGCCAGGAGCTCAGCACCGGGCTGGAGGCGCACGGGAGGGCGCGGCGCCCGGACTCGCTCCAGTTCTCCCGTTGGCTGACGGAGGCGGGCGGGGGCAGCGCGGAGAGCCTCGCGCTCTGCAGCGGGCAATGGGCTTCTTCCCTTAGGGAATAACCCCGCATCCCAAGGCCCCGCGCCTAGAAGGCTACATGGCGGCTTGCCCGCGCAGACCTCCTTCATCACCGCCAAAGAATCCCGAAGTGGCGCGTCTGGGACCGTAGAGGCTCCGGCCCAACTCGGGTGGGTAGGGAGAGGGCGTCGCTCTCGGGTTACAACTTCACACTGGAGTTTTGATGGCAAGCGACTCCGTGCTGCTCGGTAGCGGGGGGGGGGGGGGGGGGGGGCTTTCCTTCCAGGAGGCTTGAGACCCTGCCTCCCCACCGCCGCCCCCAAATCTCCTGCCGTCCCTACCTTTCTTGCAGGGCGCGGGACTCCGAGGTAATGGGCACACAGCATCTCCGGCCCCGCCTATCTTCTAAGGATGGGGAGCAGCCCCCAGGTACTGCCGCGTGGCCAGGCCGGGAGCCAGGCACACAGAGCCAGAGCCCGCGGTGGCAGTGGAAGCCAGAGGCTACCGGGCCTGGAGCTACACGACGCCGCGGAGGAAAGGGCGCTCGGCCACGAAGCGGGGTTGGCTGCGGCCTTCAAGGCCTTCACTCCGGGCAGCCTGCGTGTCTTGGCCACTGGCAGGGGGTCAGGCTGTTTCCCACTTTGTTCTGGAGGGGAATTGGAGAGTGGGGAGAGGAGGAAGGGACTTAGGCTGGGAGAGCCGCAACAGAGCGGCTTTTGGCGCGAGGTGAATTTAGGGATGGGTGCAGATATCTCAGCTCAAAGCCCATGGGAAGGGGGTGACTGCGACCGAGGCAGAGGTACGGGGACAAAGAGGAGGAAGACTGCCCAGACAAAGCCTGAATGCCGGAGACCCTGCTTGCGACGGCGGCAGAGGCGCGAAGAAGAACGCGAGATTTGGAACCGCGGAGTCTCGAAGGCAAAACCCTCTTGCGACGGCGAGGGTCAGGCAGATCCAAAGGGGGCACGCGGAGTGTGGGGTGCACAGCCCGGCCTGCCCACTTTGGCGCTCGCAGAGGGCCGCAGCGCTGGGCGCAGTCTGCCAGCTGCGCGGTCTTCTACTGTCCGGCCCGCAGGGAGGGAGCTGCGGCTCCGGCTCAGTGGATGCCTCCGACCGCAGTGTGTTCGTTCGGGCCCGGACCCTGGAGGCCCAAGCCAAAGCTTGCCCAGACCCAAGGGAACCAGGCCGGGGTGGCATCGAAAATGATCCCTCACTGGGCCGCGGTCACCGCGTGCAAACGCGACGGGGACACTTACAGGGCCAATGCAAGTCCCTAGGGTCCAGCAGCGGACAGGAGCAGGGCAGCTGCACGCCCCGGGCTTTCTCCCCCTTTCTGCGGGAACGCGCTTCTCCCAGAGGGTTGCAGACGGGTTTTCCCAGCATTACAATAGCTGATCGGGACCTTAAAGTTGAAGATTTAGTTAGAGCGCACTGATTTCATTAAAAATAAGCGACCCAAGCGCACGCCCAAGTACAGCCTTCCCGAGGGCGCCAGAGAATAGAGGGTTTTCAGATTAATTGGAGGCAAATATTTTATCTTATAACACTTCAAAAAAAAAAAATCTGGCCGCGTCCGCATCGGGGTGGGCCCCTAGACCTCCCTGCGCGGCGTCGGTCGGTCGTGCTGGCCCGGTGCAGCCAGCGGTCGGGACGCACGCACTCACCCAGCGCAAGCTTCGCTGGCCTTTCCCCCGTGCTCCCCAAGCTGGAGAAATAGGCGACGCGGGAGGCGGGTCGGGTCTCCGGGTCCAGCGAATTCGCCACGTATCCGGTTTCGGTGCCCCCGCCAGAGCCTCCGGAAAGACCCCAGATTTCTGGTCATCCCGGCCTGGGGTGGGGAGGGTGCGCTTCTCGGGAGAGCCCCGTTTGGACGCCTACTGCGCTGCGCTCCCGTCTCCCAGTCTGCGCTCCAGGGAGGTTTCTCACCGGACAGTCCTGGTCCTCCTCACCGTGGTGTTTCCAATATCGGCCACCCGCCCGTCCCCAGCCCAGGACGACGGCCACTCTCGAAGGCTCGGGCATGGAATTTCATCAGGGGCGACTGGCGCAGGACTCGCGGCTGAGTCTGAAGATAGGACCGGAGGACCTGCGTATGGCTCAAGGGGAACCTGTGGTAGGCCCCGGCGCACACACGCCTGTGTTCCGGGCTGGCTAGAGTTGGCCCGGGTTCGGAGACCTGGCCGGGTCCGAGGCGCGGTCCAAGCCTCCGGGCAGTGGGCAGGAGCGCCTCGCGTCGCTTTTGCGCACAGTGGCCACTTGGGGTCGCACTTTATGCCTGTTTGAGCCTCTCCGCGGCGGGCAGATTCCGTGATCTGCTTAATGGTTACAAAACGTTCAAACAAAAACAGGGCCGGTTCCCCAGAAGCCGAGAGAGAGCCACAGGAGCCCCGTCCCGGGCTGGCCTCGGCCCCAGGCTCGGAGCGCTCAAGGTTGCGTGCGTCTGGCTGGGGACGGGGATTCAGGGCCTTCGGGCCGATTCTTTCCCCCGGTGCCTTCTCGGTGAGCATTTGCGGGTGGGGTGAGCGCGGGGAGCGGCGGGGCCAGCGGAGTCAGGGCTCGGCCACCCCGCGGGAGGGGATCGGCCCCCTCTTAGTCTCCGAACGATCCCAGGAGGCTAAGAGTTGGGTCTGTACTCAACTCGCTGAGCCCCAACCCTGCCTCCAACACACAGATACGTGCCGACCTCCAGACACACAGGCGCGCACCGCACACCGTCGCTCGGCCCCGCGGCTGCGAGGACACGGAGCGTCGCCCACTGGGCGGGGGCCGCTTGGGAACAAAGGGCCCGGGAGGCGTCGTCCCGGCGCTCATTCTGAGCCTCCTAGGGGGTGACACGGGCTGGGGGTGGGGGGTTGGAGGGTGGAGCAAAGGGTGTGGAGGGAGGAGAGCGCGCGGGGGAGTGGAAGCGTCGTCTTGGCTAGGAGGTAGGGCGCGCTCCGAAGACGAGAGTGCGGGGCCGGGACCTGGCGGGTGTGGGGGGTTGGGCCGGGCCAGCCGTCCCGCTCGGCTCCAACCCTCCGCCAGGCCTCGCCGGCTCCGGGGCTGCTCCGGCCGCCAGTCAGCTGACGCGGGGGGCGGGGGAGCTGTCAGGCGCGCCCCGCCCAGTGCGGGCCGCGGGGGCCGAGCAGCCATTGGCCAGCGCGCCGGGCCGCCCGGGCCCCCGCGCCCCGGTGACTCAGGGAGGCGATAAAAGGCGGCGGCGGCGCCGGATCCAGCACAGCTGCACAGCCGGGCTGCGAGCGGCTGCGAGCGAGAGGACCCCAGAGCGAGAGAGCTAGGGAGCGAGTGGCGGGCGCTCGCCCCGCGCCTCCCCTCCGCCCCATTACGCGCCCCGCTTGCCTCTGCGCCCTGCACGACTGCCTCGGCTCGGTCCCAGCGCAGCTACAGCCTCGAGCTCTGGGGCAGCGCAGGCAGCTCTGGGACTCTCCGGCTCGCCGCCGCGTCCCCAGACAAAGGCTTGGCCAGCGGCCCCAGCCCGCTGCGCCCTCGGCTCCCGGCCTCTCCGGCTCGCCGCGCTTCGCCCCCGCGCTTGGCTCGGCGCGCCCCGGCCGGCCGCAAAGTTTCCCGGGCGGCAGCGGCGACTGCGCCTCGCTTCAGCGATGGCCGCGGAGCTGAGCATGGGGCCAGAGCTGCCCACCAGCCCGCTGGCCATGGAGTACGTCAACGACTTCGATCTGCTTAAGTTCGACGTGAAGAAGGAGCCGCTGGGGCGCGCGGAGCGTCCGGGCCGGCCCTGCACGCGCCTGCAGCCAGCCGGCTCGGTGTCGTCCACACCGCTCAGCACGCCGTGCAGCTCGGTGCCCTCCTCGCCCAGCTTCAGCCCCACCGAACAGAAGACCCACCTGGAGGACCTGTACTGGATGGCGAGCAACTACCAGCAGATGAACCCCGAGGCGCTCAACCTGACGCCCGAGGACGCGGTGGAGGCGCTGATCGGCTCGCACCCAGTGCCACAGCCGCTGCAGAGCTTCGACGGGTTCCGTGGCGCGCACCACCACCACCATCACCACCACCCTCACCCGCACCACGCGTACCCCGGCGCCGGCGTGGCCCACGACGACCTGGGCCCGCACGCGCACCCGCATCATCACCACCATCACCAAGCGTCGCCACCGCCGTCCAGCGCCACCAGCCCCGCGCAACAGCTGCCCACCAGCCACCCCGGGCCCGGGCCGCACGCGGCGACGGCGGCGACGGCGGCTGGCAGCAGCGGCAGCGTGGAGGACCGCTTCTCCGACGACCAGCTCGTGTCCATGTCCGTGCGCGAGCTGAACCGCCACCTGCGAGGCTTCACCAAGGACGAGGTGATCCGCCTGAAGCAGAAGCGGCGGACCCTGAAGAACCGGGGCTACGCCCAGTCGTGCAGGTATAAACGCGTCCAGCAGAAACACCACCTGGAGAATGAGAAGACACAGCTCATTCAGCAGGTGGAGCAGCTTAAGCAGGAGGTGTCCCGGCTGGCCCGCGAGAGAGACGCCTACAAGGTCAAGTGCGAGAAACTCGCCAACTCCGGCTTCAGGGAGGCGGGCTCCACCAGCGACAGCCCCTCCTCTCCCGAGTTCTTTCTGTGAGTCGTGGCCGGTCCCGGCCCCCGCCCTTGCCCTGGCCCGGACTCCCCGTTCCGTGTCCCCGGCCCTGGACTCCCCCGGACCCTGTCCCTGCCGCGGCCCCAGCCTTGACCTGTTTGACTCGAGCTAGAGGGAGGAAGGGCGCGCGGGCGACGGGCGGGAGTGCGGGCGAGCAGGGGACCTTGGCGAGGGCGAGAGTAGCGCACGCCAGCGCCGCCTCCTAGACTCGGGCAGAGCCAGAGAGACACAAGGGGGTGGGAGGTCCCGGAGCAACTTTCCTCCATCCTGGAGGACCGCAAGGCGTAGTGCGGAGGAGTCGCCCAGGCCGCCGGAGACGCCTGGCGTCCTGAACTTTGCGCACTAAGCCCGAGCCGCCGCTTGGCGGTCCGGAGCGCACTCCGCCCCAGGAAGACAGCGGCGAGCAGAGAGGAGAGAGGGACCCTGGCGTCCCAGCAGGCGCCGGGCGAGGCTCAGCGAAAGCGAGGAGGATGGACGGATCCGTGTGTCCGGAGTCCGGGAACACTGGCTCTCAGCCCTGAGACGCCGGCCTCAGTTAGGACGTTCGGCGCGCAAATCTCATCAGTTTTATTGCCTGCTTGATTATATAGAAAAAAAAATACGAAAATCTGCATTAAAAATATTAATCCTGCATGCTGGACATGTATGGTAATAATTTCTATTTTGTACCATTTTTTCTTGTTTAACTTTAGCATGTTGTTGATCATGGATCATGACCCCCTGGTTTCTTTGGGTGAGAAGGGATCCCAGCTCGGAAACTGTGGCAGCTGCGGGCCGGGGTTCCAGTCTCGGCGGTCGGCTTGTAAATACCTGTCCCACCAAACCGCGCACGGAACGCGGCAGCAAGCTGGGTGTCTTTGTTTGGGTTTATTATGATGGCTTTTTTTTTTTAAATTTGTAAACAAACAAAAAAAGGAAAAGAAAAAAAAGTTCCTTGTATTTGCATCACAGCGGTGTCTTGAGGCACCCTTGGAAGTTGCATGTTTTCTCCCCTTCCTCTGTGCCCTTTTGAGCTCTTGCCCCTTTTCTGCTTTTGTCCTCAACTTTGTTGGTGTTGAGAGAAGGGGAGAGCGGAGGTCTCAGCCCGGGAGAGCCAGGGCAGCCGCGCACTTCTGCGGGGTTTCTGCACCCCGCTCCCCACCTGTCTCGCGGCCAAACAGACTAGCCCCTGATAAGGAAAGGGAAGGAAAATGGATCTTCTCCGGTTTTTATGATGAGCACAGTCAGGGTCCCTTTGGGAACCTCTAGGCCCGTGCTAATCCCAGGGGTAGCTCCTAGGCTGAGTGGCTTTGCCATCCTCCACACTGGCTCCTAGTGCCCAGAGCTTGTAGAGAACCAACCGCCACCCGCAGAATGTACCAGAAGCCCAAGCGCTGCAAGTAAGTTTGCAACTTTCAAGTGCGTTCTTTAGACCCACACGGTCTGTGTTTCTTTCCCTGCCTTTGAGATAGGAGGAAGAGTGGTGCCCCCCCCCCCTTGGTTGTATAGTAGCTGTAGGGAAGATTTGGGTGTTTTTCTTTATTATTACTTTTTTTTTTTCCTGCAGGTCAGTAAAAAGGATTTAAGTTGCACTGACAAAAAAAAATACCAAAATGAAAACGTATTTTTAAGTTCCCATTTGAAATTGCTGGCGCTGCTGGCCAGATGCATTTTTGAGTTTGTATTAGTTGATAAATTAACAGTAATAACAAGATTGTATGAACCGCATGGTGCTTGCAGTTTTAAATATTGTGGATATTCGTCCTGCATCAGAAACGAGCTTCGGTTTTTACAGATTCAACTGTGTTGAAATCAAATTTATTGCAACAGAAATTGTTTTTATTTCATGTAAAATAAGGGATCAATTTCAAACCCTGCTTATGATATGAAAATATTAAAACCTAGTCTATTGTAGTTTTATTCAGACTGGTTTCTGTTTTTTGGTTATTAAAATGGTTTCCTATTTTGCTTATTAAAACCATGGAAATGGTGTTTATTTAGAAGACTGCGTTCTCATGACTTCGACTTTCTTCTCTTGTTTCTTCAAGAGTTGCACCAACTTTGGGGAACTCTCACGTCCCTGACCAATGGAAAAGCAAACCAAGGGCAGGCAGAGCTCTCCCTGGAGTGTGTGAGTGAGCGTGTGTGCGCGTGAGCCTCAAATGTGTTTTCTGCTTCCACCCTAGGTACAGACCCCGGTCCTGAGTCGGTTTGTAAGCCGAGAGGCTGTGGGTCCAAAAGGCCTTGGAGTCCCTGGCCACACGGGGCTGGCACCACTTGACTTTCAGGCGTGGCTGCATGGACTGACCTGCTGTGCCGCCTGTTCGGGAGCTGCCCTCTGGATGGACAGGCAGGGTCTTTGTGGTGCTCAGGCGCAGCTGAGTAGCCGCCCTTGCCCTCCTGCCTGGGCTTCAGGTCTCCTGACTTTCACCTGCCCAGGGGCTTCTCTCTGGAAGCAACCACAGCTGCCCAGTGCCTGTTCACCTGCTTTGAGTGGAGGCCCATCGTCCTCCGCCCGAGGCTGGTAGAAGGAGGGGAAACCCAGCGCCAGATCCTGGGGTGCAGGATCCTCTAGACAAGAAGCCCCTTGTGCCGACTTTTTTTTCCCCCATAAGATTTGTCTTATTTATTTGAAAGGCAGAGTTACAGGGAGAGAGGGAGAGAGTTATCAATCTTTCATCTGCTTGTTCATTCCCTAAATGGCCGCAATGGCCAGGGCTGGGCCAGGCCTAAGACAGGAACCAGGAGCTTCATCTGGGTCTCCTTCATGGATGCAGGAACCCAAGCTTTTGAGTCATCTTCCACTGCTCTCCCACACACATTAGCTGAGAGCCGGATTGAAGTGAAGCAGCAGGGACTTGAACCGGTGCCATATGGGGTGCAGGTGTTGCATGCCGTGGTTTAACCTGCTGTGCCACAATGCCGCCACCCCCCTCCTTTAAAAATATGCCTAAGGTGCACTTAGTGTCTCAGCCTTGGAGCCCTCAGTCATGCAGAGGGACCTTGCCCATGGCTCATCCTGGATTTCAGGGGCTTCTCAAATTCAGGGTTGCAGAGGTTGGGGTCATTGTTCCATTTGGAGCCATTTTGACTGCAGCCTGGATGTGTCCCTGTCCCCTACTGGGAGGTGGCCCCAGAATCTTTTCCTGGTTCTTGGAAGAGCAATACTAGTTTTGAAGATTCCAGTCTCCTTCCTAGTCTCTGTGGGATCCCTTCTGTAACTCAGGCCTCAGACACCTTTGGGAGGTGGAACAGGACCCCCACACCCTGGCTCCTAGGGGCTTCCCATCTCCTCAGTCTTGCAGCCTGGGGTTTCCTGAGGCTGTGTTTCGGGACTGGAAAGACCCAAGCAAGTGGAGTCCTTGCAGGGGACCTGCGCTGGATGGAGCCTGGGAGAGTGAAACTAGCAAGAAGAGCATGGGTGCCTGGACACCTGGGGGGTGTTGGTGGGGTCCTGGGAAGAGAGGAGGAGGAGGGAGCTACAGGGTGAGGATGCACATACTATTAACACGAATTTACACTTCAAATTCCACAGAGCTTTGACATTGTTCAGTAGGAGGGAAGTTTGGTTGTAGCTGGAATTCAGTTCCAAGGCCCGGTTCCCTTCACCAACAGAAAGAATGGGGCTGGCAAGGAAGGCTTCGGCTGTAATGCGGGAGGAGGAGGCCGCCGAGCCCGGCTGAGGGTTGCTTGTCCACTTGTGCGCAGGTGAAGGAGAAGGGGGCTCTGATAATTGGGCAATTGCATAGCACGTACCCTCGTGAGCCAATGCATCCCTGATGGGGCGAAAGAGACCTCTGCCTCATGGAATACTGGAAGAAGTCCCCAGAGCGTGGCTCAGAGTGGGAGAGAGACCGAGTCCTGGTCGTGGCCCTCCCATCCCGGACCCGGCCTGACTCCTTCTGGAATCCTCCCAGGTGGACTGGCACCCTCCACCTGGACTTTGGAAAGGCTCCGCACCAGGAGGGTTGCCGTCTCCAGCGGGTTGATTTTCCTTCCTCGGTGCACAGAGACACCCACACCAGCCATGGCCATCTCCCCGGCGGCAGAGCGACAAGGGGGCTCTGGACGGTTCTGAGAGACCAACTGCATCGTGGAGAAGACGACGATCCCACGACACAGCCCTCGTGGCACACTGACACGCAGATACACAGACACCCACACCCTGCAGCCGCACGGATGCTCACGCGGTGCCTGCACCAACCCGCCCTAGGCGCACAAAGGCGAGCGCTGGGGCCAGAGCCGGCAGCTCGTTGGAGGAAGGCTCCAGGGCGGGCCCGTGCAGCAGGCAAGCTCCGGCCACGTCTCTGCCGGCAGCCCGCTGTCCTGACCCGCCGGGACGCCCCCAGACGCGGCGCCTACGGCTCAGGGAAAGCGGACGGGGTGCCGGGTCCCTCTGGCTGATCCCACTCTGGGGGCGCTCGGCAACCTTCACCCTCCTCCACCGTTCCCACCGCTCCCCGCGGCTCGCGGGCACCTCGGGATCGTCCACGTCCCTAGGGGAAAATCCTCCCAGCGCCAGGAGTCTTCCGAGCCAGCACGGGTCCCACGTAGACAGGCTGGCGCCTGCACTCAGAGACGCACGCGAACACAGACACGCACAGACAGCGGGACGCACGCAGGGGGCACGGACGGGCCCAGGGAGTGTGGCTCCATTCCTGGCGCGCCTCTGTCTGGGCGGCAGCGGTCCGGTCCCGTGCGAAGCTCTTTTCTGGAGATCCCGGGTGTGCGGGAGCTGGATCCGCCGCCGGCAGAGAGACAGGTTCCGGAACGCGCTCGGCGCGGCTTCCCGGCAGCCTGGGCACTCAGGCGTGCGGGATGGGTGGAGGCGTCGGTCCCCTGTGCTTGCCTCTGGCTTTCTTTTCTTTCCCTTTCCTTTCCTTCTCTTTTTTCTTCTTCTGTCCCTGCTTCCCCGCCCCCTCCCCCTCCTTCCTTTTCTCTTCCTCCTTCCGCCTCTCCCTTCCTCGCCACTTCCCATTCCGTTCGCCCTTTCTTCATACCCGCTTTCATTTCAGAAAACCTTTTTCCTCCCGGTTTCTTTTCTCTTGCGCTTTTCTCCCGGCGTTGCCTGGTGGGCAAGGCTCCTGAGGGCTCCCGAGGGTCGGAGAGGTAGGGTCTGCAGGCGCCGAGCCGTCGGGCGGCACGGGCGCCGGGGCCAGCCGTCGGCGGCGCTCACCTCGCCTCCCTTCCCGTCCGTGTTTCCGCGGCCACGGAGGAGGCTGTGGATTGCCAGGGAGCGGTGTCCCGGCGGCGGGAGGGGCTCTCGAGAGGATCCCGGGGCAGGCTGGCCCTGGGTCCGGCCCAGCCAGGCTTCCCCCGGTCCCCGGGCTCCGGGCATTTCTGCGGAGAGAAGGACGCCCCTGGCTGGCAGACGGTCCCCAACTCCTGCACACGCTCGCGCGCGCCCAGGGGCCTCCCGGACCGGGCTCCTAGGGGCAGCTGCCAGGAACCACTCCGTGCACCCGGCCGGGCACTCGGCCCGCTCGGTGACCCCGAGTCGCAGCTCCTGCCGCCCCGGGCGAGCCCGCTACTCCCTCACGCGCCATTCCCGTCCCCCGGGCGCGACCTCGGCGGGGCCCTGGAAGGAGCCGCCGGGGGTTTCTAGCGACTCCTTCGCCGCCTTTCAGATGCAAAACCTCCTTTCTGGGCTCGAGTGTTTTCCAGAGGGGAAACCCTGAACCGGCGTCTTGCGCAACGCTTCCCCCCGGCAGTCCGCAGTCCGAGGGCCGGGAGGCGCGTCCCCGGGACAGTTAGCTGTGTTTGGACTTGTTATGTAAGGAAGGGAGGGTTGAGGTTTGCTTTGCGCTTCCTCTCCCCCCACCAAAATAAAAGTCCTGGACGGGTGCATTCTGTGAGCCCTGCCCAGAGAAGTCAGTGTGTTTGGAAGAGCTGCTGCACGCTGGTGCCCAGCACGGTACCCTGGGCAGAGAGTCCAGCGGTGAAAGGAGAGAGCTGTGCCCTGGGGTTACCTGGTCTGCGGCAGCGGCCGCCGCGGAGGCTTCCCAGGACGGGGCTCTCCTGGCACGGAAGCCTCGCGGTAGCAGCAGCCGCTGCCGAAATCGCCTTGTTTGCGAAGTTGCTGCTCCTGCAAGCAGTGTGCACACCGTGAGAGCAGTTCTTTCCGCTAGGAGCACACGTTCTCCCCGCCCTCCCGGGCTTCCTCCTCACTCTACAGGAGCGCTTCAAAAAATTCTTGGAGAATGGAGTTGAAGTCTCACTTTATTCTGGTGTAAAAAAAAAAATGTTGAAATGCACGCATCCAAGGGAGAGTCTTCAAATGCAAAGCAGTATTCTGAACATCTGTGCATGGCTTAGCATTTTTGGGCACCAAAATAAACTTTTTTTTTAAAAAAAAGTTTCATTATCTTTTCTTTTTTAATGACCCAAATCATGGGCAAAGGATTTTGTTTATTTTCATTTCATTGGAAAGGCAGGAGAGACAAAAAGGAAGACAGACACAGATTTCCCATGCACTGGTTCACTGCCCAAATGCCTGCAACACCCAGGATTGGGCCAGGCAAAGCCGGGAGCCAGGAGGTTCATCCAGGTCTCCCATATAAGCAACAGTGACCCAAGTACTCCCAACATGTGTATCGGCAGGAAGCTGGCACTGGAAGCAGAGTCAAGACTTGAACCCAGGCACTCTGAATTGCAATGTGAGTGTCCCAGGCAGGCTTTTAACCACGACACCAATGCCCATCCCAATAAACTTATTTTTGAAATCCATTTTCCATGAGCTTTCTGAGGTCCCCTCATAGGCTTCCTCCTGGTCTCTGAACCCCTTTTCCATGCCCTGCAGGGATTTTCCAGGCCTTATACCTGTCAGTCTTCCGGTACCTTTCTCCTTGTCCTACACATATTATCTTGAAAGAGGCATTTAGTTAAGAAAGGCAAGCTAGCTGATCTCATTTGGGAGAAGT